CATATTTGTATACCTAACCCTTAACTGTACCCCACAATATCATAATAAAAAATATTGATTATTAAAAAAAAGAAAGAAAATACACAACCATCTTCATTGAAACTCCCGACAATCAGGAGACATACACAAAGGACAGGAAATGCCTCCGCCAGACCTAGATAAGAAGTGCGCTATTAAAACCTTCTAACACCCCAAAGTATATCTGTTTTCTTAGTCTCTAAATAACAACTGCTTTCTTTCATGTCTTTGTATGAATTGTGTATGTGATGTTTAATCAAGCCTTGTGAACTAGAACTCCTGGAATAAACATAACTGTAGCCAATTAGAAAGTATGTAGCCCAAATTGCTCAAGGTATTTGTGCTTCAGGCCTTGATGTATCATTATGAGTTTACTGTGGCCAGCCACCCACCACTTGGAGTCAGAGATACCAGTGGCTGATGATGTCAAGACACAAGACTTATGTTACTGCTGTTATCTATATATATCAGAAATAAAACTCTGGACATTTTTCCCAGTCTTCAAGAGCCTTAAATATGCTCAATTCCCCAGTCTTTGATGCCACACTTGCCTAAGAATGTTGGCCCCCTCCCCTACTTGAGAGGTAAATCTTTTCTCTCTCTCTCTCTCTCTCTCTCTCTCTCTCTCTCTCTCTCTCTCTCTCTCAAACCCCCAGGGGGCCTGATTTAATATTCTGGAGGCCCCACTGGGAGTGTGCCCTAACAATGCATTAACATAGAAAGGTGTTATTATTAAGTGAAAAAACAAGTTTCAAAACAATTTGAATTCATTTAGGAAAAAAATTTATTTAGCAAGATCGAAGTCTAGAATTTACACCAGGTGCAAACAGCAATTGTCTTTGGATGATAGAAATATAGATAATTCTTTTTGGCCTATTTGTACTTCAAACATTCTTGCAATAATATAATAATATATAAATTATTTGTTTAATAAAAATAATAAAGTTATCTGTTTTCCACCCCACTGATTTTCCCATCTATCTCTGCTTAATAACAACAGCATTTACTATAGACCAGGCACTCTGCTAAGGACTTCTGCACGTTATCTCATTTAATCCTCACAGCTACTGTCTGAATACATGTTTCTCAATTTACAGATTTTAGTGTGACCCTATTTATTGCCATGGCTAGAGCAGTCTGGATGACATTGTTTTACAATGGGTGGGTTCGGTCATTTATTGTGTGACAGTACACTGACCATAACCAAGGAATATTTTACAAGGAGGTTTTATTACTTGCAATAAGTAAAGAGAACACGGGATAATTCCCAAAGCAATGGCTCTGGCATTGGAGGCTGAGTCAGTTTTTATAAGCATAGGGTCACGAGGTGTGATCTGACTGGATCTCTCACTGAAGTGATGCAGGGAGGTGTGGTGTAACTGGATCCTGCCATGAGGTGATGCCAAAGCTCAACCTGGTTGGATCTTGGATCCCACTATGGGGTGTCCACTTCTTAATTCAATCCCCACTCCAGGACCAATCATTTAGGTTCCACTACTGGTTGCACATTTGTTTCATCTGGACATGCTCAGGTCACATGACCTGAGGGTCCACGGCCACTGAAAAAGAACTCACAACCTTATTGCATAAAAGTTGAACCAGATTAGTCTGGTGCAGCTACAACTGGGTTACACATAGGTGTCTTTGCTATACCACAAATCAATAAACCATTCTGAACTGAATCTATATTCTTATCATTCCTCTATCCCCCACAGGCCTTACATGTAGTGAAGGAAATTTCCAATCTCCATGTCAATGCCCAAACTTACCTTCATGTCAACCTCTGAAAGGCCTTTCTTTGGAGGGGTCTTCCAAGAGCCCCATGCATGTCCTTGTTCCTTAGGCTGTAGATAAAAGGATTCATCATGGGCGTCACCACAGCATACATCACTGTGGCTACTGAATCCTTCATGGAGTAGGTATGAAGGGGTTGCAGGAAAACCATAACTAGTGTCCCGTAGAAAAGGGAGACCACAGCCAAATGGGAGGTACAGGTGGATAAGACTTTGTACTTCCCAGTGGCTGAGGGTATTCGGAGGATGGCTCTGACAATGTGGACATAGGATGAGATCATGAACCCTAAGGGGGTGAGGAAGATGAAGCAGTCTGTGGGGACCAGAACTGCATGGTTGAGTTGGATGTTAGAACATGCCAGTCTCAGCAGGATGTATATCTCACAGAAGATATAGTGCATCTCTCGGGACCCACAGAAGGTCACTCTGGTCATAAGGAGGGTGTGGGTGAGGCCGTAAAGGACAGAGAGACCCCAGCACAAAGTGAGGAGCAAGATACAGAGTCCAGGGCTCATGGCTGTGACATAGTGGAGGGGATGGCAGATGGGTAGCGGTCATATGCCATCACAGCCAGAATGAGGTTGTCCAGGGCCACCAAGGAGACCAGGAAGTAGAGCTGCGTCAGACACCCTGTGTAGGAGATGGCTTTGTTCTGGGACTGGAGGTTCGCCAGCATCTTGGGGATTGGCTTTGTTCTGTGACTGGAGGTTCACCAGCATCTTAGGAATCGTGTTTGTGACAAAGAAGAGGCCAGTGGAGGACAGGTTGGCCAGAAAGAAGTACATGGGAGTATGCAGGCGGGAGTCAGAGCCGATGGCCAGAATGATGAGCACATTGCCCACCACCGTGACCAGGTACATGGACAAGAACATCCAAAACAGGATCTGCTGTTGCTCAGGACTCTCCGAGATCCCCAGGAGCAGGAACTCTGAGTCCTCACTCTGGTTGCCTCCATCCATTCCTTCAACTTTCTGCAACATTAGCACCAATAAATATTTACAGAGTGCCCTCAACTCAAGAAGGACACGAAGATAAGCAAAAGTAACTATCTTTGTAGCATTAAAATTAACTTAGACTAAATTTTATGATATTTTAAGATAAGCAACAAAATAATAACAGGCATAAAAACATAACATGGAAAATCTTTATGCAACTTTATTTCAGCTTCTAATCTGGCATATTCAATATTATAGAAATGGTATCTATACCTTATTTTAAATTCTATCATCTTACCACACTCTTGAAGTGTTTAAAGATTAGTGCATTATGATATTGTATAGGTTTTAAAATGATGTTTAAAACAGATGCATGCATTATAAGAAACAGATACCATACAGTTGGATAAAGTGGGAAAATATTGGAAAGGAAAAAGAAAAAAATTATCATTATTTGCTGATATGATGTTCTAACTGGGATACCTCAGTCAATCTATTGAAATGTCGTTGGAAATAAGAAGGAATGTCAGTAAAGTGGCCAGTCACAAAATGAATAGACCCAAACTAATGGTGCTCCCAGTAAGTCACATAGTGTAGTGACAAAGGCTCACTTTAGAATTTGGAGCACAAGGCTGGGCTCCATGGTTCAGCCTGTAATTCCAGCACTTTGGGAGGCTGAGGCGAGTGGATTGGCTGAGCCAGCAAGTTTGAGACCAACCCAGGCAACTTGGCAAGACCTCATCTCTATAATAAATAAAAAATTAGCTAGGTGTGGTAACACACATCTGTAGTTTTGGCTACTTGGAAGACTGAGGCAGAAGGATCGCCAGAGCCCAACAGGTCAACGCTGGGGTGGCTGTGAGTATACCACTGCACTCCAGCCTAGGCAACAGAGTGAGACTCCAACTCAAAAAAAAGAAAGAAAAAAATTCAGAGTACTTGAATTCAAGTCTGATCACTGCCACTTACTATCCGTGAAACCTCAGGAAGCTACTTGAGCTCTTTAGAACTCAATTCTCCGTGCGCAAAAAGGGTTGTGGCAAGGATAAAATTAAGTAATAAAGTACTCAACACAAAGATATAGCATGCTGTGAGCATTCAATAAATATTGACTGCTCCATATTATTATTATATGTCATATATATGTAAACCTCAGTCAGGTAAAAGTACAATGCAAAGCAATCCCATTCACATTGTCAACAAATTAATTATTACAATGTTAAGAATTGGGCTGCACCTTCAAATTCTTCAGAGAGACAAAAGATAAAAAATTGATAAATGAATAGAATTACCAAGATTCTAGATAGAAAAATGAAATATTGCAAAGGTGCATATTCACTTGCATTAATCTAAAACAGCCTCTTCAATGTCAAAATCATAGGATTTTCTGGGGGGAAAATGCTAATCCAAATTTTATCTAACGATAAGCATAAAAATAAGCTAGGAAAATGTTGAAAGAGAGTAACAAGGGGGCACTTGCTCTACCAAATATCCAGACTCTAAAGCAGCATGGTACCGATGCTAGAATGAGCAGATCAATAGAACAGGATAGAACTTCAGAAACAGAGTCAAGTACATGTGGGTTTTAGTGAATTGTTATAGTAGTACTTTAAATTGGCAGGTAAAGGCTGCATTATTCAGTAAATGGCACTAGACCAACATCTATTTTGGATAAAACATTAGATAAATATTTCATATCTTATCAAAAATATTTAAAATGCAGTCAATATTAAAATAGCTTATGACTTTTTTTCCCTTTGAAAACCTAAGCAAATTGAAATTTTTAAATAAGGAGAAATTTTTTAAAAAGAAAGTTAAAAAATTTAAATTAAAAAAAGAAAATATATAGATTAGATTTAATTCCACCTCACAGAGATGGATAAGCTCCTTTTACATTTTTTGCATATTTTTTGTTGAGACATGAAGCACCATAAAAAGGCCAGTCTCATGAAGTTCTGAGCAAAGAGCATTTCAGACTGAGAGCGATGTGTGCCCTGAGGTAGAACATGGTGTTTTGTGCTTAAGGACCAAATATGGACCAGTATGACTGGAGTAAGAAGGAGAATGGTGGGATATGAGGCTGTGCAGGCAAACAGACTATGCTGACTCTTATTAAGACTTTACATTTTTATTTTAAGTGCAATAAAGAAACTTAAAGGATATTAAGCAGAAGAAAGTATGCATATTTAGCAACTATCCTATTTGTATTTTACCAGTAGTATTTTAATCATCACATAGGGCTGTTGCATTTTTTAACAGATGCTTTTTTTTTTTAGTATCTATCAGTTAGTAACTTTCCTAATACTCAGCCAAATTTGTGTTCCTGGTATAAGCTATCAAAATTGATTTGTTAATGTTTTATGTGGTTTTTGTAGTTATATTTATAAATAGGATTGCCCCACAGCTTTCTTTGTATGAGTGTGGATCAATTTTACTCATTTTGTATTAGGATATCCACATCAACTTCCAGATTAAGCGAGTATTCATTTAGCATCAAGTCTTACTATTTGAATTATGTTGAAATGTCTTCAGTATTCTGGATCAAGGACTTAGATGCAAAACCTCAAACTATAAGAATCGTAGAAGAAAACATAGGGAACATCCTTCTGGACATCAGAGTAGACAGTGAATTCATGATCAAGTCCCCAAAAGTTAATGCTATAAAAGTTAAGATAGATAGATGAGGCTTTATCAAACTGAGAAGCTTTTGCACAGCAGAAGAAGCCATCAATTGAGTAAAGAGACAACCTACAGAATGGGAAAAAATATTTACAAGCTATGCAGCTAACAAAGGCCTAAGGAGCTATAAGGAACTCAAACAAACTGAAAGGGGAAAAAACCATTAAAAGGTAAGCAGAGAACATGTACAGACACTTCTCAAAGGATGACATACAAGCAGCCAACAGACACATGAGAAAACGCTCAGTTTCACAAATCATCATTTAAATTCCAAATCAGAACCACAATGAGACTCCATTGAACTCTGGTAAGGATGGCTATCACTAACAAGTCGAAAAACAACAGGTGCTGGTGCAGTTGTGGAGAAAAGGGGATGCTGCTACACTGTTGGTGGGAATGTAAACTAGTCCAACCTCTATGGAAATCAATGTGGTGACTTCTCAAAGAACGAAAAACTGAGCTTCCATACAATCTAGTAATCCCTCTCTTGGGAATATACCTAAAGGAACCTAAATCACTATACAGAACAGACACCTGCACACACGTTTATTGCTGCACTATTCACAACAGCAAAAACATGGATCCAACCCTGATGTCCAGTGAAAGTGGATGGCTAAAGACAATTTGGTACATACACACCAAATTGAAATATGAAATATTATGCAGCCATAAAGAAGAACAAAAGCATGGCCTTTGCAGCAACTTGGATGCAGCTGGAAGCCATCGTAGTAAGTGAACTATCACAGAAACAAAGAACTGAATACCGCATGCTCTCACTCATAAACGGGCCCTGAACATCAGTCACATTAGCACAAGGATGGGATCAGCAGTCACTGGGCACTGCTAGGGGAGGAAGGGAGTGAGGCGGATGGGGCACATGGCAACGCAATGGGTATCTGGTTCACTACCAGGGGAAGAGAGCCAGCTAGAGGCCTAAGCTTCACCTGCATGCATCCTACTTATGTAGCAAACCCTCACCTCTACCCCACCACTCTAAAAGTAAAAAAGAGAGTCCATAGATTTTTTTCCAAATAAAAATAGGTTTCTATATTTTAATCTGTTGATCATAAACAATTTTTTTTATTTTGGAAAGTTCAAGCTACATAGAAAAATGTAAAGAAAGTAAAATCACCCAGATTCTGTTAAGATTTTGGTGACTACTTTTCCAGTTTTGCTTTTTATTAAGTCATTTTTATCCACTTAATAAAGTACTACAGCACATTCTCCAAGTCATTATCGTCATTTCTAATATCTGTATACTATTTCATTTTGTTATTGTATCCTATAAATTTTAATTAACATCCTGATGATGTATATTTAGATTGTTTCCTGTTTTCACTATTACAGATGATACATCATTTAATATCTTTGTACATATATACTTGGATATATTTCCAGATATAATAAAAGGGATGTACACTTTTCATTTTCATATGCACAGCCAGAAAGACCTCACTAAAAAAGGGTTTTAACCTGTACTCTTCAAATTAGTGTAAATGGGAAATGTCAGGTTCATTCATCCTTGACAAACTGATCTGTGAAACATGTTTTAATATTCACTGTTGTCTTTACTGATAAATCATGAAAAAGGCAAAGAAGTTCTAAAATGAATTCAGTTGAGATAATTGATATGTTAATTTGCTTCGCTTTATTCCCACTTTAATACCCATATGTATCCCATAACATAATGTAAAATTCAAATATATATAATAAAATATATTTTTTAAAAATCAATAACTATTGTAAAAAATAATGCAAGAAAATTAGACTTTTGGAGCTAAATCACAATTTTTGAAAAGGTGTCTTTCAAAGGAGTAAGAGTAGTAGTTATAAGTTTTACTGACAATTAAAGATACTTGAGATCCATGAATTTTTGCTTTTATGCTAAGAATCATTATGATAGTGCTGGACACTGAAGCAAATACCAGACCATTGTATTTGGTCTTCCAATCTTTTGTACATTCAATTTTATATTTTTTGAAGATCATAGCAATATGTTTAAAAATTCATTTTTGCACATATACACTCTTATCCTCAAAAATATTTTTTCTCAGCATCAATTACTGAGTACTTTTCCACAAAAAAGGAAAAGGAAAAAAATGTACACTCAACAGCATCATTTTATAATTCTGGAAACTAACAAAAAAGGACATGCTTCTATTTGCACATATTGTAGTTTTAGAAATAAGAATATAATCTTATAATTGAAGACTATAATCATGTAAAAAAGTGTATGTATTAGATATATTTATCAGATTATCAGCACCTTATTAGTCATAGCAAAAACACAGAAGCAACATAAACATTCAAAATTAGAGATTTAATCAAGCGGATTACAGAAGTAA